ATCACTCAGGAGTCATAGGAAACGAGATAGCCAACCAACTCGCCAGACGTGCTACGGACCTAATCAACATAGATGTGAACAGTGCAAAGCCTTTCAGCGCTTCACGTCTAGAAATGAGGTCATGGGCGAAAGAAGTGCACAAAACACTCTGGAATAACGAGAGGACTGGAAAAAACACAAAAATCTTATGGGGAGACCCAAATGAGGATAAGACTAAGCAAATACTCACGCTAAACAAGAAAGAACTAAGCAGACTGATAGGCATTCTCACAGGACACCTTAACCTGCAGTCACATTTACACAAGATTGGGTGTTCGGGAAGCAGCAGGTGCAGAGCGTGTGGGGAAGACAACGAAACGTTGGAACATTTTCTATGCCACTGCCCAGCTTTTGCATTCATCCGAACCCAATTCTTGAAAACCGACACTATTCCTGAACTTAATGACCTAAGGGGGTGTGAATGGAAAATATTAAAGGACTTCTGTAAAAACACAGAATTCCTAGAAGAATAGGGAGACCAAACAAAAGACTTAAGAATAATTCCAATCTAAATACTTTTCCTTCCTAGAGCGCACAACAGGCCTACTATGGCTTAAGTGTATGTCCCATAATGGACATGTGGTGGTTTTTTAAACCACCCCTCTTTTCAAACTAACTAACTAACTAGGTACATTCGACCGGGCAGGTAAAAACTAAACGATTGTAATATAAACAAGTAAAAACTAAGGCAAATTCGACCAGGCGGTATTTTTTATACCACCAATCCTGTGGTGTTAATTTAAAACTCCTTACAAAGGTCGATAGGTAAGGAGACTATCAAATTCTAGGGAGACTACTAAATTCTCTGCTAGAAGTGGGTTATTTGAAAGGTGTAAGTACAGAAAATAAAATGGACCTTCTTATTTCTAAAAATAAATTATTATTCTCCAGAAATGTTAAATTACATACCGATAATGAAGCGTGGACTTTTAGCTGGCGACTATATCGAGACTTGGAACTATATCGACAAATTTACCATTTTTCACCTTCCAAGATATAATAAGGCAAAATTCTTCCTCATTGCCCATAGTGCAACAAAACATTGGAGGCAGCTACCTTTCAAACATATCTGCAAAATTTGAGAAGAATCCGTCCACACACACACAGGGTGAGATAAAACCAGTAAGGAAAGGAGTAAAGTCGGACGGGGCCGACTATATGATACCCTTCACCACTATGGGTATATTAAACAGATGCATCCAAACAGACCTCGGACCATTATTATGACATTGGATGAACAAAAATATGTGATCCTTATCTAAATGTGATCCGACTTAGATCAATCCATATACATGTCATTCGTTTGTTACAATGGGGCAAAATTATGTAAATCGATTTCCAAATATGAACCGATTTCCATGATACTTGGCAGACATGACTCCAGACCCAATTCAGAACCATGTGTCAAATTTCGTGCAAATCGAAAGATATATTAAATCGGACGAAAATATATATGGGAGCTATACCTAAATCTGAACTGATTTTCACGAAACACAGCAGACATTATTCTACACTCAATTCAGTAAGCTATATCAAATTACTTGCAAATCGATAGATATTTTGGGACTTTGTTGCACCATTTACCTTAAATCGGACGAAAATATATATGGGAGCTATATTTAAATCTGAACCGATTTTCACGAAACTTAGCACACATCATTCTAGGCTTAATTTAGTACGCTGTACCAAATTTCGTGCAAATCGAATGATACTTAGGGACTTTTTTACACCACTTACCTTAAATCGGACGAAAAAATAATGGGAGCTATATCTAAATCTGAACCGATATTCACGAAACTTAGCACACATCATTCTAGGCTCAATTCAGTACGCCTTGCCAAATTTCGTGTAAATCGAGAGATATTTGGGGACTTTGGTCCCCATTTACCTTAAATCGGACGAAAATATATATGGGAGCTATATCTGAATCTGAACCGATTTTCACGTAACTTAGCATACATCATTCTAGACCTAATTCATTAAGCTGAGCCAAATTTCGTGCAAATCGAGAGATATATAGGGACTTTGGTGCACCATTTACATTAAATCGGACGAAAATATATATGGGAGCTATATTTAAATCTGAACCGATTTTTCCCAATTTCAATAGGGTTCGTCCTTGGGCCAAATCAGTGACCTATGCCAAATTTCATCCAAATCGGATCATAAATGCGACCGGTATTTTGTTCACAAAAATACATGGACGGACGGACAGACGGACATGCGTAAATCGACTCAGAAAGTGATTCTATGAATATTCTCAAAAGGAACCATGTGTCTATCTCGTTTCCTTTTGCCTGTTACAAACATATGCACAAAGACAAATTTTCGGAAATAGCATCAAATTTTAGAATAAGTTTATTTAGATTTGTTCGAATTGGTCACGTTTAGCACTAATTATGGCCTTTAAACGGCCAATGAAACCGTCACACGCTGCCCGAATGTTGCTCTGCGGTATTTTGGCCCATTCCCGGCGAAGTGCTTTCTTGAGGTGACACATTGGTATTTATACCCTTCACCACATTGTGGTACAGGGTATTATGCCTTTGTGCATATATTTGTAACAGGCAAAAGGAAACGAGATAGACATATAGTTCCTTTTGACGAGCCCTGTTGAAATTGGGAAAAATCGGTTCAGATTTAGATATAGCTCGCATTTATATTTTCGTCCGATTTAATATAAATGTTGCACAAAAGACCCTTTATATTCTTCGATTTGCACGAAATTTGGCATATCGTACTAATTTGAGTCTAGAATGATGTGTGCTAAGTTTCGTGAAGATCCGTTCAGATTTAGATATAGCTCTCATGTATATTTCCGTCCGATTTTACTTAAATGCTGCACCAAACTCCTAATGTTTGTCTGAATTATACGAAATTTTCACAAAGTATCAAATTGAGACTTGAATGACTTTATTGAATTTTGTTGAAATTGGTGCAGATGCAGCCATAGCTTTCATATGTATTTCGAATGGGTGTCTGATTGAAATTAAATTTTTAACAGTGCGGCGCACCGAATAGCTTGTATCAATTTTGCTATAAATCGTATAAATCGGACCCAGACTACTCTAGATTCGCCCGAATGAAATTAAATTTATCATAGGTTGCAGAAAGACATGTGTATGTTCCTTCAGGCGAACATTGACATGCAATGGTAAGGATACATATGTATAATATACCCAAATTGGTGAAGGGTATTATATAGTCGGCCCAGTCCGACTTTACTAGTTTCCTTACTGGTTTTTATTGCCTACCTTGCTTTCCAAAATACTCCAGGCACAATAGTCCAAGGGATTGGTATCCGGAGATTTTGATGTCCATTGTGTGCTGGAAATGAAGCGAGTAACCTCATTTTTTAACCATTCTTGGGTGGAGCGTACTGTGTGCGATGGTACTCAGTCCTGTTGGAATGTCCAAGGTCTGCGGCCAAAATGTTGCGCGCCCTTCAGAATATTTTCGCGATAATATTCGTTATTTATTCTGATGCCACTAGGGACATATCACACATCAGAATGATGTGTGCTATGTTTTGAAAATCGGTTTAGATTTAGATGTAGCTCCCATATATAGTTTTGTCCGATTTTATATATCTTTCGATTTTCACGAAATCGTGCATAGGATACTGAATTGTGTCATGAATGATGTGTGTCTAGTTTCGAGAAAATCGATTCAGATTTAAAAATAGCTCCCATGTATATTTTCGTCCGATTAAGGGTAAGTGGGGCACCAAAGTCTCTAAGTGTCTTGAATGACATGTTTTAAGTTTCGAGAAAATCAGTTCAGATATAGGTATGTCTAGAATGACATGTTTTTAGTTTCGAGAAAATCAGTTCAGATATAGATATAGCTCCCATATACAGTTTTGTCTGATTTTATGGAAATTGTGCACCAAAGTATACTGCATAGTATACTGAATTGTGTCTAGAATGTTGGGTGTCAAGTTTCGAGAAAATCGGTTCAGATTTAGATATAGCTACAATATATATTTTCGTCCCATTTAGTGTAAAGTATGCACTAAAGACCCAAAGTTTGGCCGACCAGCACACAATTTTGTACAATATACTAATGTTAATATAATTGAATGTTTTGTACGTTGAAGTATTTCTAATAACGTCTCTTATATATTTTTCGCTCATGAAAAGTTTATTTACACAAATATTGTGTTTTTTTCTGAATTTGTATTTGCACTTGATGCTGTTGTGGCTCTGCATGTTCATGAGGATTTTCGTGTCTTTGAGATGGAAATCTGTCCCTACCATGGCTCGTTTGTTATGTTTCCTTCCTTACTGGTTTAAGTTGGTGCAGATGCAAACAAAGCTCCCACATATATTTTTGACAGACTTCATGTTAATTATGCATCAAATAATCAAAATCCCTGCACAAAGTCCCCGAGATGTCGAAATACTGTAATGTGGGGACTACGTCAAAACATATTTATTATGTAGATCAGTAAATGTAGATCGTAAATGTAGATCAGCCTCCAATAAAAGGGCAATACTAAATTACAAATACTCTTCGTGGGGAAATATGGCTAAAACCCCAAAAATACCGAAAATGGGGCGGTACAATTTGAAAAGATTTATGTCAAAGTATGAACTTGTATCGAAAATTTTCCACCACTTCGGGGGAAATACATTTAAAGTTTTCAACGTACCATTATCGGTATATGGAACCTAAGCCAAAACAGCGGCCGACATTGGTAATATTTGGTAGAATGATATGCCAGCCAAATATAATTTAAAATATTTAAAATACCGAATATTAGGGGTACCATAAAACATGAAATATTAAAATTATAACTGATTTGATTGAAAACTAATACTTATCCACAAAATGCACAGTGTTACAACCAAAAAAGCACCGTGAAAGGATTAAACAAAAAAATCGCACACACATAGACACCGTAAATGGAATACCAGCTCTCATATGACACTGGCTATAAGCACTTTCAAATCCAAACAAAAATACATATATAGATAGCAGATACAATAACAACAACAGCAGTAGCAAAAACAACCTAAGAGGTAACAATATCGCACCTAAGGACAATGACAAAAACATACAGCATAGCGAACGTACCTTTTTAAGGGCATTCCCCGAAAACACAAAAAAAAAAATACAAACACCATATAACTGTTATGTGCCTCTAGTATCTACTAACGTCACAACCTCTCCGAGAGACAAAAACAACAACGCCACTAAAGGTAAAAACAATGACTAAAACAAGCGATAAGAATTCGTGTCGGAGGACAGGATACAATTTTAAATACGTTGTTAAGAGAAAAACAACTCAATTTTCGCATCGTTTTTATTTCCATTCCTTGCTTCTGGAATATTTGGTCAAATGGGAAAACAGACGGTTTTTACGATCGGTTAGGTGGCATAAAGAATGGTGAGAGGGTGGAGAGTTTTGTAAACTGAAAGATTAACCAGAAGGGAGCCATTAAATCGAATATGCCAGTAGTGTAATTTAACTGTAGAGGTAAAGGCAATTGTAGTTGTAGCATTTACAAAAAATTATTATCAAGAAATGTGAATGAAAAAATACAATTTTAAATAGCAGTCTTTAAATTTTATGTGATTTTTCGATTTTGCGAATAAATATTTAACATTTGTTATCTATAGTTTATTACCCATTAAACTATTGGCAACAAATTCTATGTGGTAAAAAACTCTGATACGTTTATGTGGAATATTACCTGACTTTTGTTATTTACTGATGTGTGGTTTTCCGTTAGTTACATATTGGTTATTTTTTTACACAAATCACATTTATTACTTTAATTTTTTAACAATATTTTCAATATATATATATAGACCCATTCACAAGCACCTAGCCCAGTTTCAATCGCTACAAAGAAGAAGTAGTGTTGCAATATTGAAGCATCGCTGAGTGGACGGATTCACAACATTGAACGCTTCAAATTTCTTCAGTTAACTGCTAAGAGAAGGACGAAGAGTTTTGCTCTAATTGGAAATCAAAAGAGGAATTTTAAGCCGTTTTGTTACAACATCAAATCTTTCGCAGCAGCAGATATCCGTTGAGGGCATTTAAATCCCAACTCCAGTAAATAATCCATAGGTCTATCTACCATGATGCTCTTTGGTTGATGGGATACTTGTTAAGCACGCTTTATTTGGAGAAGTGTTTAATAATCTGTTTAATGTATATACCCCTTTCATATCCAAAGATATTAATAATTTCTCTGATGTATTTGTAGAAAAAATTAAATAGGAGCCTGACCCATAAACATGCTTATGATAGTTACTTACCTTCTTAGTTAGGTTGTTACAAAACGGTTGTTCCATAAGCCGAGCTTAAAAAAGATTTCCAAGCGCGTCGGTCTTGAGCGCATATCCTCAAAGTTGAAAGACCGTGTTCGAAGATGTTGTTTTCCACTTAGTCTTTCCATTTAATTCGTGTCCTTCCCCTTCTACGGGAACCACCCGTAGGCTCGCTTTTATATGCCTTTTGAGCTGGGGCCTGCAGCTCAATACGACTGACTATGTCGATGTCCGCGTAAAAATTTTAGAACTCGTAGAACTCATTCGACGCCGATAATCACCGTCGACGCTGATCGGCCCGTAGATCTTTCGGATAATTTTTCTTTCAAACACCCTAAGAGCTGCCTCATGTGCTTGCGCAAGTACCCATGCTTCAGATCCATATAACAGCACGGGTATTATCAGCGTCTTGTAAAGTGTGAGTTTGATCTGGCGGGAGGTGGCCTTGTTTCTAAACTGCTTACTTCGACCATAGTAGCATCTGTTGGCCATCACAATCCTTCTCCATTCGTTTTATTTATGGCGGTACCAAGGTATGTAAAATCTTTAATTACCTCGAAGCTGTAGTTCTCAAGTTCCACAGTTGTTCCGTGTCTACTGGACGTCTTGCGCATTGATACCATTAGCTTGGTCTTCTCGCCGTTTACTGCCAGACCCACTTTGGCAGACCCCTTCTCAATTTGTTCAAATGTGGCTGTTACCGCTTGCAATGTTCGACTCATTATATCGATGTCATTGGCGTAGGCGAGTAACATGTGTTGTTTGGTGTACAGAGTATCATTTCTGTTTACATTTGCGTCTCGTATAGTCTTTTCCAGCAGAATGTTAAAAAGATCGCACGACAAACTGTCACTTTGTCTGAATCCTTGTCCGGTATTGAAGGGCTCCGATAGGTCCTTTCCGACTTTAACTGCTGTCCTAGCCGTATTAATTTTGCAAGAATGCCGAACGTAGACATGGCTTTAACACCTCCGAATGGATAGGGCTTTCGCATGCGGCTTTATAGTCGACGAATAGGTGGAATGCATCGATGTGTGTTGCGTGGGTCTTTTCCAGGAATTGGCGCAGAGTAAAAATCTAGTCAATGGTGGATTTGCCAGTTCTGAAGCCGGATTGGTGTGGTCCAATAATGCCATCCGCCATTGGCTTCAATCGTTCACACAGCACAGTGGATAGCACTTTGCATGCGATGGGAAGAAGGCTAATTCATCTATAGTTGGCACATATCGTCTTGTCTCCTTTTTGGTCCACGGGACACAGGATGCTGAGGTTCCAATCATTGGGCATGCATTCCTCTAGTCATATTGTACTAATCAGCTGGAGCATGCACCTGACCAGCATCTAACCACCAGTCTTGGATAGATCGGATGATAACCCATGATTATAATAGTTTATTTTTAACCGACCGACCATATGATACCCCACACAATCTCCACTGAGCTCTAAGTTTCTGCGCATCTATATTCCGAACATGTACAATATTTCGCGACATTTGCACTCTCTTCACCGTAATACTTTCTGAATCATATTTTCCCCGAGTAAAAATTAACTCGATAAGATTCAAACTTTGTTATTTAATAAATTATACATGGCTGATCGAGCTTGAGGTCAATATTTTTATTTATTTATTATTCTCCGATATTTCGAAATTAATTGAATTTCATCTTTTGGTTTTTAAATAACGAACATAAAATAATTAGTTTAATATTAAAATAATTAGTTTAATGACAAACATAAATAATTACTTTGGAAGAGTTAGTAAATCCGCATCCCCGTGGAAAATTTGTGATGTCCGGCAGGCTATCATCGACCACAATAATACTAAACAATATCAGCATAGGAAGAACCCTGTAAATATTTACGTATGATTCCCATGCAATAATATAATTGGTACAAATTCAAATGTCAACCATTCCTCTTGGATATACCATCAACTTCTCGGGTATATGTCCTTCTGGATTAAATATATACACCATAGAATTCATATTTTTCACACAAAAGTCTGGGTCCATTTGACCCCCAAAATATTGACGTAACTGTGTCCTGTGTCCTGTATCGTGTTTACGAATTATAATGAACAGACAAACGGACACACATGTATAAATCGACTCAGCTAGTCGAGACACCGGTATACGTTAAAACTTTTGGGTC